CCTTGTTTTGCTAAGCTTGTTCTAAGTAGGTGCTTTAGACCACTGAGCCATCTCACCAGCCCTCAGTATGGATTCTGAGGTAGAAGTATACGCCTGCTTTTCTGGAGGGACAGCTGGATCAGTGTGACCATAGAAGGGTGCGCAAGGAGAAGAAGAACAAGAGCAAAGCCTGTAGGGCCTGCCTGGTCAGTGCAAGGACTTCAGTGCTTAATCTTGTGAGGCTGGGAGCTGTGGCAGCACTTCAGGCGGAGGGTGGCATCATCTGGTTCACAGAACAGTTCACCTTGTGTTGAAGATAGTTGGTAAAAGAGTAAGAGGAAATGCAAGAGGACTAGTTTAGAATCTATGGGAATAACCTAGGGCAGAGATAACTCAGTTTAAAATGGCGATGGTGAGAAGTGGACACTTCTGATTTGTAAGTTAAGAGTAAAAATAGTATTTCCTGATGCACTGCAGGAAGCGAGACAGATGCCATGTTTATTTACTTGGACATTTTTTGTCTGAGCAATTAGAAGAATAGAATTTCCTTCAGAGAATTTTCAACTATGGTTAGAAGGCTGTGGGGGCCAGGTTTTGTGGGCTCTGTTTTGACCCTGAGTTGAGGTCACTTCGCTAACCAGCTGGAGATGTTAAGTAAGCAGTTGGGTGTATAAGCATGGCATCTGGGAGAGGGGGATTAAAGAGTGTGTGGAGTGATGATGCTAACTAGAATCTAGACCTAGGTGAAATCACCAAGAAAGTGAGTGTGGACACATAGAGGACACAGGACCAGGGCAGTCGTACAGGGCTTCAGTATCCAGAGTTTGGGAGATGAGGAGGAACCCGCAGAGCATCTGCAAGAGCACTTGTGAGGAAAAGGAAGTGAGAGAGCTGGGCGTCCTGGGAGCTGAGCACAGAAAGTGCTGTCTGTCAGAGTGAGCTGTGCTCACCCCTGTCAGCGGCTACTCCTAGATGAGTGGCTGTGTCTAGATGGTAGTATGTGAGCATAGCTCAGATCTGACTACAGCAAAGATCGGGAACTGCCATGAGGGAATGGGCCCTCGTGAGTGCTGCTAGGAGAAGGCACCAGAAAGGTTGCTAGTGGGACAGGTAAAGTCAAGAGAAGGACTTGACTAATTGAAATGAATAACTATGAACAATCAAAGTAAAATGTTAATGATGTGAGAGAAATAGGCTGGTTGGAGTGGTGTCCTGAAGCCTACGGAGGACTGGTTCTGTGTGGGGCTAGGACTGACTTGAGATGGTTGACTGGGATCCTGACAAGCTGATGTGGGGTAGTGCTCCTTGGAAATTCTCTCCTCTGCTCCAGATTCTCAAGTGGTTTGGGGAGAAGGAGGGTGTGGGAGGAGCTGTGGCTAGCAGAGGTGAGAAAAACAAGAATTCCAGGCTGGAGTCAGGGGACTAGGGGAGCACCCTGTGGTGTTTGTAGAGTGTTGTATAATCCTTGCAGAGCACAGGGGTTAGCTCTGTTTTGTGAATATTTGTGAGTATTAAGTTTACAACAGTCATGATTCAACTTTGAAACAAAGTTGAGATTCTCTTTGGTTGGCGCTGACGTGTAGCTCAGTGGTAGAGCACTTGCCTAGCAGGCATGAGGCCCTGAGTTCAATCCCCAGTACCACAAAAGCAGAATTAATCAGATAAGAGCAACCCTTGAGTGACTTAATTTTATCTTCTTTTGTTTTGCAGAAAAACTATGGGCAAGCTGATGAAGATTGTAGGCGTGGTATGTTTAAAAATGGGACTCTTTTCTGATTTTGAATTATTTAATTGAGCAGTATTTAAGATTTGATTTTTTTTTTTTTTCATTTACTGATTTTAAAAGTATCAGATCCCCTACTATGCTACCTAATGACTGATTTGGTTGATGTCTTTCCTGCTAAGATAGGAGTACGGGTATACATTGTTCCAATGCACAGGTGTTGATGTATTGACAGATATTCTTTTGATAGTTTATGTATTTCTAATCAGTAAAAACCCTCGTTTAAGAAATGTAGCACATGTGAATTAAAATGTTAAGCTTGAATAGATTGAGAATGAAGGTCTAGTTTCCTAAAATGTTTCTTGTTAATAAAAAGATTTTTCTTATTAACAAGATAATATCTTAAGCACTTGTGTTTTCTTTCAGGCAGGAAATTGAGATTAATAAGAACCTTATTCTTTAACTACTCATAGTATATAAAACTATTTCCTCCCAGTTGCCATCATTGCAGTAGGCTAGATCTAGGACCAAGTGGGAGAAGAGTACAATGTAGAATCCTCCAGGAGATTTGCACAGATATGTTTCATTTATGGAAAATTAATTGTTGGAGCTCAAATGTGTAACTCCCCCACCCCATTTACTCTTTTTTATCAGCACTTTAAAAAATACTAAGTATTTCTGTTGTAAGCCGTACAAAACTATATTATATACTTGTGTCGTATATTGAACATAACTTATCCTTTCCAAAGAGATCAGTGACCTCTTTCTGTATTATTTTGGTTGGAAAGATGAATTAGAATAAGACATATGTGGTACAATATTGCTTTAAAAAATCCCTGCTGTCCTTGGGCATTTACAAAATATCAGTAAGTCACATAGCACAGAGGAACATGAAGGAAGTAGGTTCCCCTTCTTTCATCTGAACAAATCTTAGATTCTTAGTTTGCTATATTTTCTTTAGTGATAAATGCAATACATAATAATACATATTTAGCGTTTTATTTTTAAAAATTAAAGAATTGAGATGATCACAAGGCTGTAGTCATCACAGTACTATGCCATAGTTGCTTATGTGCCCCTATATCGTGGATATGTGGCTATTTCTCCAAGTTAATACACTAACTCCAGATTCTGCTTACTATTTGCTGGTGTGTTGTGCTATAGTTTATTCATGTATTTTCCCAGATTGATGAATTTTCAGGAAGTTTTAACTTTCTAGTTTCTCATAAATTATCCTTTGTAAGTATATTCTTTCATATTGAAGACCTTAAAAATTAAATTCCTGGGTTAAAAGAATGTATACATTTCTAGTTTTTATTGACAACCTCAGATTAATTTCAAAGTACACTCCCTCAGCAACACATAAGAATGCCCTTTCCTTGAAATCTTACTAACGTTGAAACCTATTGGTCTTGAAAGTTTGACAGTCTTTGGAGTAGTGAATTGGTGGCATCTTCTCATTTTGTAAAGGTGCAAGTGAAAGTTCCAGTAGGTTTTACAACTTGTGAAAAATCACAGAGAAGTTATTGTCATCAGTGAAGAAACATACAGAAAAGCTGTATTTAGCATTTTAAAATTAGGTAGTATTTTATAGCAGATGAGTTACCAAAAGTTAGCCAGTTGTAAGGTAAAGCCGTCTATATAGCATGACTGGTGTCAGTGGTATGCAGTGGAATGCAGCTCGGTGATATGTTCAGACCTTTGACCTACTAATCTCATTTCTGGGATACTATCCCAAGTGGATAATCTTAAAGAAGGAAAAACTCATTTACAGAGCTGTGTTCACTGCAGTGCTGTTTATATAAGTAAAAGTCGGTTAGCTCACAATAAGGAAGGAGTTCTTTAATTACTCCCAGTGTGTTTCGTGTTGCGTTGTACATGTAAAGTAAGAACTTGGAAAGTAGTCTTTTTTTTTTTTTTTTTTTTTTTTTTTTTTTTTTTTTTTTTTGAGGAACCAGGGATTAAACTCAGGCCTTGAACCCTTTAGGCCAGGCTGGCCTCAAAGCAAGGAATCCTCATTTCTCAACCTCTTGAGTGAGTGCTAGCGTTACAGGCACGTGCTACCATGCCCAGCTTAAGTGATCATTTTTTAACTAACCCAAGAACATGTATGCAAAAGTTGTTTGTTTGAAATAAGACATTTGGGAACACTGACCAAGGATAGTTATAGTTGCAGAGGTCTGATATTATATGTAATATATTTTCTTTTAAACTTTCATTAAAAAAGTTATGTTTGTATAAGACACAGTGCTGTGGTTAGCAGTAATAAAAAAAGACAGTAATCTCAGGCTCTGTTAATTGTTATGTTGCTTTCTTTGCTGTGATACTTCCGGGGAGCCCTGGATGCGACCTTGCAGTGTTCCAGATCATTGACTACTTGTTTGCATTTCTTATGAAACGCAGTCTTGATGTTTTTCTCTCTTTGTCCTGCTATCAGTTTGCATTCCTAGCAACTCTTAATGTGCTTTATTGCAACTAACCTCCTCCTCTGTTCTATTTGCTGCTTCCAGCCTACTGTGGTTTTAAAAATTAGGCTGGCACTCTTTATCATGGGAAGCCATTAATTATAAACATGATGTTTATCCCTAATACTTCATTCAATATATGTCCCTAAAAATAGGATCATTACTGTATAGCTACAATATTTTAACCTAATAAAATTGACAATAATTTTCTAGTATTATCTAAAACCCAGTATGTAATCAGATTTACCTGGTCATCCCAAAAATATTTTTATGGTTGATTTAAGCCAGGAACTAATCAGAGTCATGAAAAAAAGTTGTTTTTTTTTTTTTTTTTTTTTTTTGCGGAACCGGAGATTGAACTCAGGCCCTTGCGCTTGCCAGAGAAGCGCTTCTTCTACTGAGCCATCTCCCTAGCCCTAATTAGAAATTAATTTTATTTATTTATTTATTTATTTATTTTGCGGAACCAAGGATTGAACTCAGGCCCTTGTGCTTGTCAGGCAAGCGCTTATTCTACTGAGCTATCTCCCCGGCCCCCAAAAAATATATTTTTGAGGCAGTGTCTTACTTTGTGATTCAGGCTGGCCTTGGACTCACTGTGTACCCCAGACTGACCTTGAACTTGTGGCAGTCCTGCTTCTGCCTCCTGAGTTCTTGGACTATAGGTGTGTACCACTATGTCAGGTTGGACATGAAATTTTAAAGTTCAGGTTTTACTTTAATAAGAGTAAATAGACTCTGGTACCCAATGAAGGTGTTTATGACTGGAGATACAGCTCAGCAGTACAGCACCTGCCTGTTAGGCACAAGGTCCTGAGTTTGATTCCCAGCACCCAAAGAAAGAAAGAAAGAATAAAAAATAGATTCTGAGTGAGGATTTAAGATATCTAAGGAATGAGGTACATAGACTTCAAGTTCATGAATTTTAGTTCCAAGTTCAGTGCTATAATGAGGTAGTTAAGTCAGTTTTCCTTATCTGAGCTAAAACATAGTAGAGCTGTCATGAAATAATGTTTTTTTGCCTCTGAAATACTTATTGTATAGGAAATACTTTTTTATATTAAAATGAGTGAAATAATTGAAGAAAGTAAAATGGAGGGAGAATAATCTTATTAAGAGAATATTCTGCATGTAACAAATAGCTAAAAGTTAGTCATTATAAATAACAGGTTGTAAAAATTTAAAACTCTGCCCAATAGTTTTGTCAATTTGAGAAGTCATCATGGGCTAGGTGTTTAGCTTAGTGGTAAAATACCTGTGTGGCGTGCTTATGGCCCAGGTTTTTTTTTTTAGGAAAGTATTTATTTATTAGTTTATTTTTTGTGGCTGGGCTGGTGCAGCATGTGGTGCTGGGAATCGAACCGCAGTCCCTGCACTTGCCTGAGCTTGCCTAAGCAGGTGCTTTAGTCCACTGAGCTATCTTGCCAACCCTGGCCCAGGTTTTAATCCTCAGTGTACACACACACATTCATGCATGCGTGCACACGAGCACACATATAGATTATCATTGCAGGTTTATTGTGATACTTGGCCTGTGAGTAAATAATTCAGTAACTACCAGGCTCTGTTAAGAGACTGACCTATGACCTATTAAATTGAAAGATGATTAACTGGACCATCTGTACTCTTCCTAAGGGAAAAAGTTGCATCTTTACCTTCTCAAGAGTTTTGGTCAAACACAGGTAATTCTGGACTATATGATGTTTTCATGTATAAGTTTCTCACTTTCTGATGTTACCAAGGTAACACGCACCCATTAGAAACTGTCCTTGGAATATTGCATTATGTTTTCCCAGGCTAGCCTATGAGATCCCATATCCCCCGTAATGTTGGGCAGCGATAGTAAGCTCCGGCTGCAGTAGCCCCAGGACCAGAAGGATGAGCAACCAGTATTAGAGTTTGACGTGTTGCTGAGCTAGGGTGTTGTTAGGTAAGGTATATTAAATACTCCGGTTTTTATTTTTGCTTTCTGGTACTAGAGAGTGAATCCAGGGTCTTAGGTAAGCATAGCCTTAAGGTACACACTCAGGCCTGAAATGTGTTAATTTTTTTTTGTTGTTGTTGTTTTGAGACAAGGTCTCATTAGATAGTCCATGCTGGTCTTGAACTCCTATATATATCAGGCTGGCCTCAAGCTCCTCAAAACTTGTGGTGAGTAGCCCTCCATCCTCAGCTTCCTGAGTGGTGGATTACAGGTGTGTGCTACCGTGCCTGACTTAAATGTATTTTCTTTTTGGAAGTTCTGGAACTTTACTTGAAAGTTAGTTCTCGTCCACATTCACTGTTGGAGATTTTTGAATGTGGTAATAGGGACATAGGTTACCAAGGTATATAGCTTGTTTGGTGAATCTTCACCCTCATTCCATTTCCTGGACAACTATATGCAGATACAATTTGGGTCATTCCTTATTCCTTTGGCCTAAACAGCTTTTTTTTTTTTTTTTTTTTTCTACAGTTTTATTGATAAACATATAGCAATGAGACAGTTTCAAATCAAATCGGAAGTACAGTTTCAACAAATAATACACTGCATGTATTCTTCTTAGTGGTTAATTGCTG